TTTTACACTTAAATTTAAAAATTTATGATTTGTTGCCAGGATAAAGACACAGACAGATAGTTTTTGTTGAGTTTTCTGTTTCCCTTCTTCTTTCTGAAATCTCTGATATTTTGCCTAGACGAAGTCTGGATGTTTATTTATTATTGTAACTGTCTACTATCGAAACAATACAAAACTCAAAATATCCTTTTTCGTAAAGCATCACGTCGTACTGGGGTTACTTTTTCATAGGGATAAATTAGATTAAAGTGAGCGATTTCTTAAGATCTTGATTTGTTTTTTTTTTAACCTACCGTAAGCAGGGTGTTTGTGAAAGGAATGAAGGGCAGTTATAATGTTTTAAAGGATTTTATTCACTGCAGCTATAAATCCCTATTCCTCACTATTTTTGGTCAACAAATGTATTGACCTAATATCATAATAGCGGTTGGTCACGCACGGAAAGAAATTCAGCTTACTGATAACAAGACACTTTCTTAACCTTATTACCAACTGCTATTAGTAACGGGGATTTCAGAGATCTACAAGATTTAAATCACTGAAGTTAAATCGCTTAGGTGAAATTAGATTTCACACAAAAAAGTCCGGTAAATCTCGTCAGCATGGCAGGATAAATATATTGTTACGCTGAATTTATCCGAGTTTCTATGGATATTCTAAACAAGCACTCTTTTCTTGCAGCATCAAATCGTTTATAAAAGGTTTAAAAGTACCACTTGATATCAGCGTGTTTGCATTAGCACTTCACAAGAGTGTCAATATCTCGAATTTTAGCACTTTTATAAATATTATAAATTGAAGGGCAGAACTTACCTACGGAAATCATTAAGATATCATATCGCATGCGGAAACCCGATAAAAACATAAATCTTAAAGTTCTCTCTGCCTCTGGTACTACCCTACTCTGTCGTTCCATCTTTAGGTTGTAAATTTGGGAGGTAAGTCTTTATGAGTTACACGTGTTTTGTATTATTTCAAAATGACTTGAAAGTCTCGGAATGGTTGTAAAAAAGGGTGTCATTTTATTCACTTCATGTACTGGACCTAACGTACATGTAGCCTAAATAGCTAATTTATTTTTAAGGCTCCTATTATCATGTAATATTTAGTTTTTCAATTTCTTTCTTAAGTAGTTTGGGAATATACTTCACCAGCAAAGCGTAGAAGCTGTTTATATCGTTGTGGTGTTTATCTCAAATGTTTTCTCTTGTTACGTTTTCGTAAAGAAATTGCATGTAAAACAAAGTTAAACTAAGAGGTGTAACCTTAAAAGAGTATGATAAAATTTGTGGGTGTTGAAGAATATGAAAGGATGTTTAAGGGAATTCTTTAATTACTGAAATCAAACTTGATTTCAAGGCAAGTATTGAGAGCTTATGCCCACGACCTTTTTCGCAAGTTTTACGTCATGTTTTTAGACGGTCGCGAGCTAATGCATCGCATCCTGATTTATATATTTAACATACCATACATCTCATCTAGGGGTGGCCATCTTCTGATCCTTAGGTGAGAGTACTTAGAAAATTGAACTGATTTATCTGGGAAACAAACTTGTCAATAAGAATCACATATAAACCCATATCATGATTTAGACATAATGCAACTACCACGACGCACAAAACAGGGAAATATAAATATCGATCCAGAGCATTAGTGGGTACGAAAGCTCAAGAGCAAAGGGTCACCGAGCTTGTTTTATTCTTTTTAAATCTGCTTGCCAATTTTTGTAAGCTGAATCGTACCGGAAAAATTTAATGAAAATTAACAAATGAAATTCGCTAGTGGATATGGTGTCTGTTTCTTCATCAAACGACATAACGAATCACATGTATAAGGTAAAATAACAAAGTGGCAGCGGTGGGATTTGAACCCACGCCTCCGAAGAGACTGGTGCCTAAAACCAGCGCCTTAGACCACTCGGCCACGCTACCAAGCACCTGACGGTGGAGGTATTTTCTTTGTGAACTTTAATTGTAGATCTGGAATCCGAACGTACACTGATATGGTTTTACTTGAGAAATGCAAACCGAGCCAAGAATTGATTAAAAATTGCCAGAGCTATAACTGAGGAATTTGTATGACTGAGACCATTGCTTCACTGTGATTGGCTGAGAGCAGGCCAATGTACCGTTAATTTTTAAATTGTACTGCAGTGCAAATAGACCAATTTCGATATATTAAAATTCAGACTAAAATAAGAGACCTCAGTGTGAGGCTCTGGGGAACAACTACAGAGTTTGTGGGGTTTATTCCCCCAAAGCCTCGTGCTGAGGTCTATTGTGTTAGGCTGAATTTTAATATATCGAAATTGGTCTGTTAATGCGCGCGCTTTCGTGATTTTCTCAGTCATATAATAAATGAGTAATCTTATAAAGGCTCGGGCAGTTAAGGATTTACACTACTCGTTATATTTGAAAAAACCTTTCAAATTGCACTCGCCTAAAGGCTCTTTCAATTTTGAGAGAATTTTCAAATATCACTCTTAGTATAAATATGTATTTTCCGCTGGTATGTAAGCAATTCTTTGCAGGAGTATCTAAGGCACCTTTTGATTGGCTATAGAATACCATATATTCATTAGCACGAGGTGCTTCTTTCTCTCTCTCGCGTTCTAGTTTCCGAACGGTTTGCCGTTCGTTTCAGTCGCTGTGATGTCCGACTCGGAATCTATTGTTGAGACAACGAAAGAGAAAGAAAGTCCAGAGAACCCTAAACCTCAGAGTTTAAAGTTGGTGGACGAAGTTTTTTTTCCTCATTTAAGGGATATCTTAATACTCAACTGGAAACCAAGGGAAAGCGGATAGAAGATCAGTTGAAAATAGAGAGGTCCGCCTCGGAATTCAAATTCAAGGGTAACAGAAAGCAGATTGAGGTGAACATCGAACTAAAAACCCTCCTTTCCCGAATGAAAACCATGCGGTACTGACGACTCCGGTCAAGTATATAGTTTGGCGCAGGAAGCACAACAAATCATTCGCAAGAGGTAGAAGTTAATAAAAATTGCTGACTGTAGCTAAGAAGGCTGGCTAGTGGTTCAGGAATATGAGTCGGATAGATGACCTCGTCTGAAACTCCGAAGACGAAACATGCCTCAGGAATGCGAAGAATGCTGCGGACAAAAACTGTGGAAGGATTCCTACAAGTCGAAGCCTGGCTGTTCTAAGCGCTTTAAGTCTTACGGTGATAATCAGCTTTTTCGCGGTAATACTTTTTTCCTTTCTGTTTCACTTTTTTATTTCGCATAGGGTTGGAATGCCTGAGCATCCAACCATCAAACAGTGTTGTCTGTTTTGAATGTATTACATTTAAGAGGAAAATAATTTCCGTTAGTTTGAGCAGAGTGAATTGGAACGTAACCTTATTTGCACTCGCTTGCATTCGTATGAAATTAATTTTTTACAAAAACTGCAGAAATTCTTGCTCCCTCACCGGCTAATTTTCATTGTAAGTAAGCGGACAGAGACATGAATTTATAATTTATGAGATAATTTATTGTAAAAAAACAAATTGACGTTAGTCTTTCATGTGTCTGTCCTGCTATTGACAATGAATTTCGTCATTGTCAGAGTAGTCTTCGGCACCGTTATGATGAAATTTATGATCCATAACAGGGCAGACCATGGAAAACTGACATCAATTTTTCGATAAGAACTACGCCTTACAAATGCCCCGCTCATACAATCACCTCGTTGTTAACTCCATGGTAAAGGTCATTTTTGGTCCTTAGTTATAACAGCAAATAATTACTTCGGGAGGAGTTCACCATCGATAATATCGAACCTCGCTTCCGAACATAGACTGTCTTGCCTTCGCTGATCTCGCCTGTTTTAAATTGGGTCAAACGACTTTTCTTCAATCTCTGATGTTTCTTTTAGTTAAATCCGCCCTCATCGGCAAGGCGCGAAATGTTTACCAAGCCTTTTAAAATTGAGAGAATTCCTTGTTTTTGGAAACGAATGTATCTTAGGCCAAATCAAGCAAATAAATATCATTTTCAATGTTTTTAATCGACATTCACTGGCATGACAAGTTAAAAAACTAGTAAAACAATTATTTATCACGATAATTAATGTCCTTTATAATAAAAATAATAACGCTGTATTATTTTATGATATTTATGTCTTTATTCTCAGTTAAGATTAAACTGAAGCTAGGAGCTTGGGGGACCGTCAGTACAATTAAACAAATCAATGTTTAAAATAAAAAAATTCTTTCTAATCAACGTCTCGTGTATAATTTTTCTGAAATAATGGCGTATTCTGCTCACTAACCAATTTAAGCTATTGAAAATGTTCAAAGTTGTTTATTGAACACGACAAACGACTTATTTGCTGTATGTTAAGTCTGTGTAATTTAAGTCACTTTGTTTGACTTCACTCAACATGTGCTCACAAGAAAACGTCATCCTAATAAAGATCATTCCAATCAGTATGTGACTCGAAGGCGTAAATATGGCGCCTAAGCTAAGATTTCACAAACCCACCCTCTATTCCTCTAAAAGAAGGACTAAGCAAATACCAAAAAGCCTACTTTCTTAAGTCTCTTTAAATATTAAATATATATCAAATACGTCTTCTTGCTCAAAAAAGCTAGATCCAAGGCTCAAATGGACACAAGTCAGCCATCTAAAGTAATACAATAACGTCACTGACCTAATGGAAAACGACTAGTAAGAGAGTTATTATAACGTTAAGCCATACACTAGCAAACGTTGCAATATATGTATAACCTCGATATATAAGGAAATCGACTCTTTGGGCACTTTGTATTTTACCGTGTTTACAGTTCTGTTAGTCTTCTTTCCCGTCTCGGTTCTCGCCTTCGTTTTCGTCAAGTAGGTAATGAATGTCGCTTTCATCATTTCCATCGTTGTCATCATCGTCATCATCGTTGTCATCATCACTGTCATCATCGTCATTATTGTCATCATCAACATCGTCGTCATCATCATCATCGCCCTCGTCATCATCATCGTCATCATTATCATCGCCGTCATCATCATCATCGTTGTCATCATCGTCGTTATCATCATCGTCGACGTCATTGCTGTGATCGTCTTCGTAATCATCGTCGTCATCGTCCTCGTCATCATCTTCGTCAACATCATCATCGTCTTTGCCGCCACCTTTAACATTATCTTTGTCGTCATTTTTGCCGTCATCTTCGTCGTCATCTTTGTCATCATCTTCGTCTTCATCCTTGTTATCATCTTTGTCAAAATCTTGATCATCGTCTTTATCATCGTATTTGTCATCGTCTTCATCGTCATCATTGTTGTCATCTTTGCCGTCATCCTTGTCGTCATCTTTGTCTTCAACTTTGCCATCATTCTTGTCATCGTCTTTGTCGTCACCTTTGTCGTCATCTTTGTCATCATCTTTGTCGTCAGCCTTATGATCATCTTTGTCATTGTCTTTGTCGTTATCTTTGTCATCATCTTTGTCATCAACTTTGTTCTCGTCTTTTTCGTCACGCTTGTCATCATCTTTGTCATCATCTCTGTCATCATCTCTGTCATCATCTTTCTGATCATATTTTTCATCATCTTTGTCATCATCTTTGTTGCCATGTTTGTCATCATCTTTGTGATCATCTTTTCCATTATCTTTGTCATCATCTTTGTCATCATCTTTGTCGTCATCTTTGTCATCATGTTTGTTGTCATCTTTGTCATTGTCTTTGTTGTCATTTCTGTCGTCATCTTTGTCGTCATATTTGTCATCATCGTTGTCATCATCTTTGTCGTCATCTTTGTCGTTATCTTTGCCATCATTTTTGTCATCATCTTTGTCATCATCTTTGTTATCATCTATGTCATCATCTTTCTCGTCATGTTTGTCCTCATCTTTGTCGTAATGTTTGTCGTCATCTTTGTCATCGTCTTTGTCATCATCCGTGTGATCGTCTTTGCCGTCATCTATGTCGTCATCTTTGTCGTCGTTTTTGTCGTCATCTTTGTCGTCATCTTTGTAATCGTCTTAGTCGTCATCTTTGTCGTCATCATTGTCATCATCTTGGTCATCATATTTGTCATTATCTCAGTGTTCATCTTTGTCATCGTCTTTGTCATTATCTTTGTCATCATCTTTTGCCTCATCTTTGTCTTCATCTTTGTCATCATCTTTGTAGTCGTCTTTGTTATGATCTTTGTCATCATATTTGTCATCATCTTTGTCGTGATGTTTGTCGTCCTCTTTGTCATCATTTTTGCCATCATCTTTGTCATCATCCTTGTAATCGTCTTTGTCGTCAACTATGTCGTCGTCTTTGTCGCCGTTTTTGTCATCATCTTTGTCATCATCTTTGTAATTGTCTTTGTCATCGTCGTCATCATCGTTGTCATCATCATCGTCAGCATCATCATCGTCAGCATCATC